AAAATCTTGTTACTTTTAATATATGAATAGTAAAGCTGCAACCAAAATAACATGATACTGGAACATATTACACCTGATTAAATAATAGTTTAATATACAATTCTTCCAATCATTGTATCAAAATTCTTTTAAGGGCAAGTTCACATGGAAATGAACCTATTTTTCTTGTACTTTTTCCACATTGAAAGTGTTAACCTAGTAGACAAAAATATAAAAATATCACAATTAATTAACATATGTTTTGCGTTAAAACAATTTATATTTCACATTTACCAAGTGTTCTATTTCCATAACAAAAACATCATGGCTTATGCCCCTTGCAATATGACGTCATTGGTGCCAATTGATAAACGTTATGACGTCAACAGGCTTTGTTAGAGCCGCTTCACGTGGTGTAGGTATAGGAATGTGATTCTGGCGTCTCAGATGCCAGCCAGCATAGTGTTATGCTGAGTCACCACTGCGCCGGCGTGTGTCGTAGGCCATGTTGTTTTACCGCAAACTGGTACTTGATATCTTTTGCGTTGAGAATAGAGAGAGACACGGTTGAATTGGCACCAATTACGTCATAATCCAAGGGGGATAACTCAGGCCTGTTTAGCTCGAAAAACGAAGGCCTCATAATGGCATATCATTTTCACAGTATTGTGAGCTTCCTACTTTCACTGTGGAAAAAGTGAGTGTATATTTTCAAACACAAATACTAACTAATTCTAAAATTGCGCTTTGTTTAGAAAAAAAAAGAAAGTGATTTTTGCATGTACACTTCCCCTTTAAGATCATATTATTCGGTAACTTTTAGCCAAATCACTGGAAAAGCTGGAATTAATCTGAGAAACATAAAATTAAAAAAGTGTGGCCTAAACGTAGCGCTTTGGCAAAGCATATTGCTATTGCCAAATATTTTTTCCGGATGAACAGTTTGACCAATCACTATTGAGGCTTCCCGCCGTCTTGCTATTTCAATCAAGAAAACATTATCATGATTATGTTGGTCAAACTAGAAGAAATATGACTTTTAATGAGTCACAGTTATATAATGATATATGCATCCAGTCTGTCAACTAAGGTTTGTTTCAAGGCATTAACAGTGGTAATCTGTTCCTGGTTGCTGTAAATAAACAGAGGAAGTGCGATTTACCAATCACTTCACCATGTTCAACCAAGATTTCACTGAAATTAATGTAAACAATATTAATATGAAATTTTGAATAATATTAAAAAAATAGATTACAGACATAAGTCTAGATATACAATGACTACTTTTTATAAGCAGATAGAATAACAGGATTAAATTCCATACTACAGCGCGGATTTGTTGAGATAGTATTATCGGGGTTACATGCTCTAAGTAATGTCTTTGAGGGGGAGAAACATCAAAACAGTGTAGGCCTGTATTATACGCAACCCCCTCAATGTTAATGTGTGGATACGAAACTTTGGGAATGACATTACGGTGGCCATCTTGGTTTGCTCTAGGCAGGCAGTTGAGTGACAACCTGTGTTACAACGGCATATCATTTTCACACTATTGTGAGCTTCCTACTTTCACTGTGAAAAAAATGAGTGTATATTTTCAAACACAGATACTAATTAATTCTAAAATTTCGTTTTGTTTAGAAAAAGATAAAAAGTGATTTTTGCGTGTACACTTCCCCTTTAATGCTATGCAGTATTTCGTACTTTGTAATGAACATTTTAACACAACACAAACTAATTGGAGAGATATCATGTTAACTTGCTTTGTTATTTCTTTTTTTATACCATTAAAGTTGGTGGTATTAAAAAATACAGTCAAGTCCCGTTGATCCGACATTGTTGGTTGCATATGATTATATCTGATTAACGGGTATGTCGGATAAATGAAATTTGGTCGAATCAACGTTCTTGATCGAAAATCGGACAACTACATGATAGATAACAATTCAAACACGTTGTAATAAAACAAAAGGAAAAAGGAAATATCTATATTGTTATGTTATATTGTTAGCGGAATATGTTTTATAACCATGCATCCTCTAAAGTTTAACACAAATTTTTACGAACTGTATGACTGATTCCAAATATGACTGATGACCACGGAGTACCCAGATCACTGTGTCGGATAGTGATTTCAGCAATTCGTTGCAAATTAGAAGTGTCGGAGTCGGAGTGCAAAACTGTGGGATTAACGGGTCTAAAAAGCACTGATTTAATCGGTTCCCATCATTGGTGTCGGATTTGTATATGAGAAAAGTCATTTTAATTTGAATTTCATTTTGCTATTTTGGATTTGTAAACAAACAAACAAAACAATTATCGCCTTATGGAAAACCAATGTCCCCAATAATGTCGTACCATCAGTTTTTTAATGCAAAAGTAGAAAAAGAGCAATAATAAAATCATTGTCAATCTGGTGCCTTACAATTCTCTTGGCTGGAATGTCTTATGAGATTCGTTTTTTCTTCTAGGTAACAAAAAAACCCTCAATATTCACTGTACATGTTAAAGAGAAACTCAAAAAAAATATTTACTGCCATCACACAACAGTGAAAATTGATTTTATTTTGAAGTTTGCCCATTATTAACAGTTATTTAAGGCCAATGGTGCTTATTCAGTTATTGATCTGCATATTGATTTTGATCAATGGAGCCATGATAGATCAATAACAGATTCAAATCATTTAATTTCTCATCCAGAAATTATCCAATGTAGGGGTGACTTTAGGGCTATTTTCATTATTGCAATAGTACTGTGACAGTAGTAACCCAACTGTTAGGCTTGCTAATCACTGTGAAAGAATGAATAAAGTATTGCCACAATGTAAAAGTCGGCCCTTTTCCATCATGTCCATGGTGTTGCTCCTCAAACCAAAGGGAAGTACATGTAACTCTAATCTGTAGTCATGATGCTTGCTATGAACACACAGCAGGTTTGAAATTTGACTAAGCACTGAGCTTTCTGACACATTGTTCATGTATTACTTGTAACTAACTGCGACATTAACAGTATTGAAACCATCGACTGTTATGCATACTATCGACAATACTATTGGTGTTAATAAATTCCTATTGACATAGTTGCAATCGCATTGCAAACAACTGCAATAAATCGATAGTTCGATTCATCGTTACAGTCCTTATACAATCAGTTGCTGCAGTGTTCCAGCACCTTCTGAGTGTATGTACATTAGATATCACTCCCTGATGAAATCTGGCTTTTGTAAAACATTCCAAATGTGACATAGAGAAGACAATACCATTGTAATCAATGTAACCCATCCTTGCATATCCAATCCCCATCTCCGCTCCCACTATCATGACACTCAATGATACTTCAACTGTGTTTCTGGTGGCATTTCTATCTGCCTGTCATGTGGAACGGTAGCAAACAAAACTACCTCTCCTGGGTAAAATGTACCAATCCAAAGCTCGCTAATAAACGATCAAAGACAATCATGAATGTACGACACCTGTTTTCGAACAGCCATATTGATAGTGATTTGTTGCGCTATCACAAGAGGTGTGATGTTATCATCAAAGCTGCCGACTTGACAGTGCAAACATCCGACTTGCAAACATTCATGTTACATAAACAGAAATCAGACTTGCTGGTCTGAATGTTTCACTCTTGCCACTGCTTGCTTACAAAGTATTTAGAACCACTGATGCCTACTGACTGCTTAGAAAGTTCAACTGCCATGATGTCCTAAGGTGTCCATACGACCGGGAGGTATTGTATAAGAGTAAAAGACCTGATTTTAATGAGATTGTAGTCTGGCCCCAACATACACGTCTATAAAAATGCCAGAAGAATACATAAGGTTAGTTCTTGACAAAGAAGACAAATCATTCATTTCCCCTGTCATCATTGTACACAATGTATGCTCTCAATATTATTCCAATTAATAAACTTAAATTCCTGTGACAGAAAAGGGCACCACTCCTAACCAAAACTTGCCAAGTTTCAAGTAATGAAAAGTTTTCGATAAACAGCAAAATTTCACCTAAATTCGTTTGAATTATTTTCATTAAATCCTGAATAGGAAAAGGCACCAGTTCAGTACTTGTTTGATGTGTATACCAAGTTTCATAAAGAATTATTGAACAGTTAATGTTCTGGAAACACGGCTCTTGATCTGATTAACGTTCCGGTCCCAACTGCTGAGGATGCCAATGACAGAACACGCAGAACAAAATAAATCTACATTCAAAGCCTGAGACTTAATGGCAACCTGTGAATCAAAATTTAGAAGACTACCGGGGGGTAATACAAATGACTTCCATGTAATTATAATTAGTATTTGGGATGTTAAGACAGAATCATAATAAAAAAAAAATCATATCTTACACTGAAAGAATCAATCTTTGTACCCTGTGACATTACACTCAAGAATGTCATAATATGACAACCAAAGGCCAGACTAATTTACTTATTACATTTTCATCTATGCCTGCCTCACTACCAAACCCCACCTTACAGTTTATTGTCAAGTGCAAACAGTAGAAGAAAATGGCTATTCAGAGTATTCCCTTCTTGCTTCACTTGAAATACAGTCATGTTTCATCTTTTATCACATCAGAGGACAGTTATGAATTAGGTGTCTTGAACATATGAAACTGGAAGTTTAACCCCCAAAATAAAAACACAATTTGAAATATTGGATGAACATCTGAAAATATATTAGGCTCAATCAAGGGTCATGTGAATAGTGCATGTCATGCACAACACAATATCACACGTGAAATATTGTTATCTCTGAGACTAGTCTTTAGTCCATGAAGAAAATTCTTTGCTGCCATTTTTGGTAAGGCTTTGTGATGACAATATCATTAAAGATTTACAGGAACATGTAATAACATTACAAAAAACTAAATCTACTACCGAGTCTCACTCTTGTCATCCCTTTTGAAAACTGGCAACTTTGTCAGTTAAGACCAGACACCCTCACAAATCTTCCAAAACCATTAAGCATACATTGAAACCAAAGTACATAGGCTAGAGAACATTAATAACTTACCTCAGCCACTTTGATAAAGCGACCTCGTCTGTTCTGTTTAACATCCAGGTAAAATCTCTTTGACTGGATGTGTAAAGTTCTTGTGGCAAGTTCCTGCTCACCAGATCCTGAAATTGTATGGAAATATATTCAGACCTGGGTAAAATAAAAGACTTACAGAATCTTTATAGGACACCATGAGCATCAATTTTATAGTATTAATGCTTTCTAATCTATCTGTAATGCATTAATTTCACATGTGATGGTATGTATTGTGATAATGCTATCCTCTTAATGCCATGAACTATCACCTTGCTCTCAGCAGTTTTTGGTAATAGACAGTTTACTTGAAGTGAATTTTAACACAATGCCTCCTCTAGCTCAGAACTTGGTTAATGGTTTGACCCACAATGGCATAAATGTGGCAGAGCAGCAAAGTACAAATACAAAGAAGAATCTTTTTTCTTCCGGTCAAGGCTCATAACAAATCTCAGTAAGAAATATACAACCTTCTAAGTACTTGACACGGGAAGGGAAGGAAAGGAAAGGAACTCTTTTGATTTGTTTATCATACAAATACTTCATGAAATACTTGTTTTCGTACGCTTTTATCTTATCCTGCCCAAAACAAGATCATACTATAAAAATGACCACATAGATTAATAAAAATGATATTTTGTTAAGTAATTACTTTAAAACTACAGCCTAACAATGACGGTCTTGTGTTAAGATGTTCATGTAGCAATATGCTCACAACCAGCAACAAGCAACCAGCTATCTTTGCTGAACAGACAACAAAAATTGGAACTTACTGTAATACATAATGATCATATTTCAGCTACCCACATAAAATAGCCCACAAACATACAAGTGGGACAATTTGATGATGCAGCTTCAGGGCTTGATTTAACCATATAAATCAAACACCAGTGCAACCTATCAGTGAAAAGTGCAACCTAATGCAAAGCTTCCGATAACTTTTTGAGCAATGAGTTTTTACTCTGGGGTTTCTGTTTTAATTGGGTTATTACTTTTTTTTATTGGGTAACCAATATTTTTTCACCCATCTATTCATCACTATAGGGTTTTTCCCAAAATTAGTGAATATTTTAAGGTTTAAAAACGGTGAAATAATGTTTTAGGCTTGACTCGGAAAGAAAATTAGCTCGTAATAGTGTTTTGGAAATTAGCTCCTTTGTACGCATGCTGAAAAAGCATCATTGGGTATTTACAGGAGCTGTTTTTATACATTTGAGTTTTTCATTTAATGCATGGGTTTCTGTACGCAACTTAATTGAATGTAATTGGGTTTTGAATATTTTTTGGGGGTATTTTACGCAAATACGCTGCTTTTCTGTAGCTCTGCTAATGTTTATGTCTACCTGCACTAGTGAGTGAGTGAGTATGGTTTTACGCAACTTTTAGCACTATTCAAGCAACATCACGGTGGGGGACACCAGAAATGGGCTTCACACATTGTACCCATGTCGGGAATCGAACCCGGGTCTTCAGTGTGACAAGCTAACGCTTTAACCACTAGGCTACCCGACAGCCCTCTACTTGCACTAAATGCAGGTAAAGAATTAATCAAATTTTGTGTCTGACTAACACTTATATTTCCACACGATTAGTGAACGCTCTCGGTGCCTCTGCATCACTAACCCCTGTGTTATTTATGATTACTCATGCTTTCTTGGGCTTGATTTCATTAAACTGTGGCTACTGCAAGATAATATTCCTATGATGTTTTACAACAATAAGTTATTAATTAATATAAAATCATGACACAGTCATCAGACATCTGAGATTTAATTTATTTAGACTAGTCTTTGCAATTGTCATGTCTATTTTTCAAGTTTAATAAGTTTATTGGACCAGGGTGCAACCTGGATTTGTCTGGTGAAACTAGATTTTCATGTCAACATGCTCTTGGTTCGGTTCATGTTAAATCAAGTTCATTAAATAGAGCCCTAAGCTAACAATAACTATTTTACAGCAATAGTAGTAATGTTAGCCAAAACAATTAAGTCTTAAAAACAAAACTTAGCTCAGGCATAATGTTCTGTAGGTTTCCGTCTTTTAATCATGTCAATATTGACTATCAACTTTGTACCTAAATATCTAATATTTAATGCCTAAGAAGAAAAGTGCGGTGATTGGTAAATATTCTTCCATAACTCTATGTCAAGATGTCCTCTGGAAAATAATACACCGAGTACTATCAACATCACATACTATCAACAGTATATATCTCAATATTAATGCATTTCTGATTTTCATTTGGGGTTTTAACAATGAAAGCAACAGGATCTATCATGATCTATATTGGGGGAAGATAAAAGTGAGCAGCTATTAATATGATAAAAGGAAGCAGATGAAATGTTTATGTGTGGCTGAGAACAAGAAACTATTTCAGCATGTTCAGTGTCTGGAAATATAGCGAACACAACAGATACATTTCATTAGTGTTGTATGTTGATGGTCTCAAGGTATTCTTTTGAACAAAGAAGTCAACAATAGTGGAATATCTCATACTGAATTAATTTAGATCTCAATGTCCATTCCACACTAAATGTATTGCATTTACTTGTCATCAAGCAAAATCTTTCCGAGCTGGACTTCCTTCATTTCAGATTCCAGAATGAAATTGTGTGACAAAGGACCAATTTATCATGTAATTAATGTTCCTCTTGTCTGGATTACACTGTGTTTACAAATAAGACACCTTCTCAAAATGCTTATATTTTTTCTCAAAACAAGTTAAAAAGTGAACGAGTACATATAGTAAGTCAGTATGGTTTAATGCCGCCTTTGGCAATATTACAGCAATATCACGGCGGGGTATACCAGAAATGGGCTTCACACATTGTATCAATTAGGGGAATCAAACCCAGGTGTTCGGCATGACGACAAGTTAAAAGGAATGGATTCCAATTTTTATCAAAGGTTTGTAGGGATACATTTTTTACTTTATTTGAAAATACTGTAGATACTGCAAACTGCCTCTTGAATAACATCAAATAACTATTGATGTTGTTCATATCACAAACTTTACCAAGTCAGATGACAGCTAACAAACAGTGCAAACTGGCATACTCGCCTGCTGGCCCTATCAGTTTCAGGCTTTTGTGGGATGTCCCAAGCCACACTCCGTCGCAGTGGTGACTCAGCATAACACCACTGCCACAGGCTAATTTGCATATCACGTGACTGGACTTTTCTCTTGTTTGTAAACAAACGCGCTTTTTCAGAAATCAGTATAGAACGGACTAATGCAAGTATTTCGGGGCGCTTTACATATTGTTTTGCATAACTATATAGATACTACAACTGCGACAGTGAGTTGCATGACCATATATATTTATGCATCAAAGTGACCGTGTCGCTAGCTCTCCGTTGGGCTTCGATGACAGCACGTGGAGCCGTACAACCAATGTAAACATAGGATAACTACGCAAAAACAAGTAGATTTTTACGTATTTGCATACTTTCTCAATGAAAGTTAACCATTCTTTGACATTTGTTTATGAAAATGTGTAGACTTGTCAAACATGAAACGGATGAAAAGCATATGCAATATCTTGAATGGACTGTGAAAGATGTGACGAATCGTCACATGGCGCTGGCCTGTGGCAGAGGTACTATGCTAGCTGGCTGCCGGCCGCATGGAACTCTGGGTAGGAGAGTGGTCCCAAGCTCTAAATCTAAGCCAAATGACCTTGACCTTCAATCTTGGCCATGAGCTGCCAGAAAAATTCACAATAAAAGCATATTTGATGTTACATTAAGTTACTGCCGCATACTGATTATACAGTCTGAATTAGATTTATTGTCCACAAGTCTTTCAAGGTGTCAATGACCTTGACACAAGGCAATTGAAGATTTGTATTATCATAAATTAAAGTCAAGTATTACATTTTTTTGGACACTTAAGTTTTCTAAAGAAGATAATTTATGGATGTCAGGGCTCGATTTAGATACAGGCAAACCTCATGTTGAATTTGGGGGACCTGGAAAAAAGTATGAGACGTCAGAGGAATTTGATGCTTAATTTGGGACTCCCAAATGAGTTCGGACAACTGGGAATTTGACACATCCAAGTTCAACACGAGGTTTCGATTGAATATAAAACATGCAAAGTGCAACCTATTTTGAAAAATGCAACCTAATAATATTTATGTCTACATGCACCAAGGGCATGTCAAAATAATTCAAAGCTTGTGTCTGACTAACCCTTACTTGTCCTCACACAAAATCAAACTTTAAATACACTCATTACCTCAAAAGGTATGTTTTAATTATTGATGAAACCCAAAGAAATACACTTACAGGGATAGATATTGGCACGAGCCCACACCAGCTTTGTTAATGTTGAAGGTATCCTAAGAACTAGTAGAATTTCAAACATTTTGGGAGGCTATTGCTATATATTAATATTATTATCACTATTCAGGCTAGTATATTTTCTTGGTTAATTTCAATCCCTGAGATGCCAACCCTAATTCACTTAATTAGGTTTGGAGTAATCAGTGAAAAAGAGTAATATTAACAATACCATGTTGCAGGTTTTCACTTCAACATTCTCATTCTCGTGTGTATTGGTTCGATTAGCGATAAACCTCGTAACCCTCAGGCAGTCATAGTGTGAGTAATCTAATTACTGTACTACCCTAATACATATGCTCTTGTCAAATCTGACTTCATATATACACCGTGGTGTTTTTTCATCACGTCTACGGTAATCAAAGTATAGACTCTCACGTCTTGACATTTCGTTTCACATGCATTCTCAATATTGAATGCAGACATATTAGTTATTGGCTGTTTTGTATTCGCCTTTACCCTGAACAAGAGCCTGAAACATGAAAGTTAAGCTGCCTTGAGTGTATTGTACATGTTCAGTGAGGCTCCCGACCCAGGTTATCTAAACTGCAGAATCCCCTCCATGGGTGAAATGGAACAACCAGGAGGTCTTAAAAAGTAACTTGCCAAACTCTCCCATACATAAAAGTTAAGCGGTAGTCATCCAAAATGCTATACTGAAGAAAGTACACCTTTTTCCTGGTACAAGAATGAGTGTGATATCACTTGTGGTTACAAATGAGATCAATTATCCCCTTAAAATACT